AGTTATTAAAGTATATGCATGAAGGTGGAAAATGTAGACACAATCAGCACATTTCACCCAACTCTACAACAACATCTGCATTTGATGCTATTGGGGAAATTTTACTCCAACAGAGCAAAAATGTATAAACAAGTTTATCCACACAATAAGGTCTTTGTTGTCTTGAGTATTAGACCAATTGGATTCAACAGCAGGCAGTTCATCATGGTTTGCTATCCCTGTTATGCTGCCAAGACTTACTCCCTAAGGATGAATATTGCCATTCTTTTAGGGGCACAGAAGCTGACAATTCCAACTGTTAAGCTATATCACAGCCATTGGTCAAAGCAGGCAAGAACAGCAGAGAAATTATCCACAGTCTTCTTACCATGACCAGGATATATCTATCCTACATCACATATAATCAGCAAAAGGCAACCTCCCACCTTCCAAACATGGCATACATACGCATCCTAAATAATTTATGCCAAAATAAAAATGTGCAAGCCTGCTATTCTCATCGAGACAAGATCTCATTTTTTTCTCAAGATTATCCACCTCCCTCCCCTCCCCAAAGGGTCATCATTCTTTTCACTCTTCCCCCAAATGCCATATATAAAGAGACATGAACTCTGAATTTCATACCATGCGCATGCGCTCATCTTCTAGATTTCTAAGAACAGCAGCAAACTCTTGCAGGGATTTTGCTGGAGGGAAAAAAGAGAGAGAATTACCAGACTAGCTACACTGAGTGCTTTATTCTTCCTAAGAGCAGGATCACCTTATCCACCCACCTACCCACCAAAGAAGAGCAACCAATTAGCTGGGAAACCCGTAGGATAATATTTGCGGAAAACATGGGAGTGCAGTTGCCCTGCTTTAAATTACAAGGGGAATTGCAACTGACTTTCTGTACTGTTATGTGCAAATATCCCAGTATGCTCAGCCCATACCAGTGGCCTTATTGCTATTTTTCCATGTTTAAGGGGGGGATTTTTATAATTATTAATTGGGCAACTGAAGATTGCTCCCCTTTTCTACTTATTTAACATCTCAGACTTTCTGTGATTGTTTTAAAAAAGGCAAAGGCAGGAGAGAGAAGGATCACAAATGAATGAGAGCATCATATAGATCAGGGGTAGGCAACCTTTCCCCTTTAAGGGCCGAGGGACTTCAGCTCCCAGAAGCCTCAGCCATGTTGGCCAATAGTCCCATGTTGGCCAATAGCTACTGGGATTCTGGGAGCTGAAGTCCCTTGGCCCTTAAAGGGGAAAGGTTGCCTACCCCTGATATAGATAGACCCTCTCATAAAATGTGAACACACTATCCATACTGATTTTATAGTGAGCCATATTTCCACATGATCCTGTGCTGTCTTGTCTAGAATCATCCAAGGTAGTTCTACAACACAGTGCTTTGTAGAAAGAGCTAGTGGTTGGCAGATAATTCTAATTCTAATTCTAATAATAATAATAATAATTTATACCCTGTCCCTCTGTTAAAACAATCAGGGCGGCTTACAACAATTAATTAATTGCTAAAATTACAACAATTAATTCTGGTTGAGGTGCAAAGTATATGCCCTTGGATTGTTTCTGCTCCCTGGCCTCTGCCTCTAACTTTTATCCAGGATTTTGGATTTGTTGAAATTCAACTAGCAAGAGCCACGGAACTGTCTGTCTTGAATATGTTGTTAATGCTTTGAAATTCTGAAATCTGACATCATCTGGCCTCAGAGGGAGAGAAAGGACAGCCAGCTTCATCAAGCCTGGCCTAAAGTAAGAAGATGAGCCCTCCCTCCAGTCCATCTGCCATGGTCCAGGCCTCACAGGAAGAGAAGAACCCCTGGACTTATTCCCCTTCCCCACTGCCATTCCCTTCTCCTTTTGTATCATGTTTTTTTAGGGCAGGAAAATGTCTAATTAACTATTTGTAAGCTGCTCTGAGGGCCTTTGAAGAGTGGGGTATAAATACAGTAAATAAAATAAATAAATAAATAAATAAATTACTCTATTCTTAATTTGTCTTATTTTCTTTTATGGTAATACAACTGTTAACACAAAAGACCAAACATTACAGCCTGCTCTTTCAAATGTGAGCTTTATCTTCAAGATCAATTCACTCACAGGCCTAAGAAGATGATCTAAGAAGATGAAGTAAAAATGGGTCTAGTTCTAAATCATCTCTGAGAGAGAACTAAACTTTTCCATTAACCTTCAACAAAATCTAATAATTTACAGACTCATATTTGCTAAACAACTGCAGATGACATTTCGCATATTGTACTAATGTGAGCTCCTCCTACTTAAACAAGTGAAATAGCTAATCTGAATCAAATGCCAGACATTATTGAACCTTACATAGTAGAATCATAGAGTTGGAAGAGACTACAAGGGTCAACCCCCTGCCTCACAGGAACATATAATCAATGCACTCCTGACAGATGGCCATCCAGCCTTTCTTTAAAAGCCTCCAAACATCACTCTCCAAGGCAGCATGTTCCACTGTTGAACAGCTTTTATTGTCAGGACATTCTTTTTAATGTTTAGGTGGAATCTCTTTTCTTATAGTTTGAATCCATTGCTCCGGGTCCTATTCTCTGGAGCGGCAAAAAGCAAGCTTGCTCTGTCTTCAATACAGTAAAGGTAAAGGTAAAGATAAAGATCATAGGGATGCAGTGGCTCAAGTAGTTAAGATCCTGAGTATTTGTTGATTCCAAGACTGGCAGGTTGGCAGTTCAAGACCCGGGTGCTGCATGATGGGGTGAGCTTCTGTCACTAGTTCTAGCTAACTAGTAGTTAGAAAGCATGCAAATGCAAGTAAATAGGTACCACTTTGGTGGGACGGTAAACAGTGTTCTGTGCAATTATGCTGGCCACATGATCACAGAGTAGTCTCTCACAACACTGGCTCTTCGGCTTTGTAACGGAGATGAGCACCGTCCCCTACAGTCGGACTTGACAACCTTGTCAACAGGGAACCTTTTCCTTTACCTTTAAAGGTAAAGGTAGTCCCTTGACATGAATGTCTAATCAGAACCGACTGTAGAGAGCAGTGTTCATCTCCATTACTAAGCCGAAGAGCCAGCATTGTCTGAACACAACTACAGTGGTCACGTGGCCAGCATGTCTGCACCGAATGCTGTTACCTTCCCACCGAAGTGGTACCTATTTATCTACTTGCATTTGCATGCTTTCGAACTGCTAGGTTGGCAGAAGCTGGGACTAGTGACAGGAGCTCACCTCATTATGCAGCCTTGAACTGCCAACCTTCCAATCGTCAGAACTGGCAACTTAACCACTAAGCCACCATATCTTTCAATAAGACATCCCTGCAAATATGTAAACAGGGCTATCATGGCACCCCTAACCTTCTCTTCTCCAGGCTATACATACCAAGCACTAAATAAATATCTAAAAATTGATGCATACTAGAATTGCAATGGTTTTCTTAGCTGCAGCATCACATTGCTGACTTATGTTCACTAAGACTCCTAGATCCCTTTTGCATGTACTGCCATCTAGCCAGGTGTCATGCAACCTATATCTGTGCATTTCATTTCATTTTTACTGCCCAAATGTAGTATCCTACATTTGTCCCTGCTGAAATACATTTTGCTAGTTTTGGCCCAGCTGTGTAATCTGTTAAGGCCATTTTGAATTCTGATCCTGTCCTCTGGGATAGAAGCTATCCCTCCCAATTTAGTCCCATCTGAAAAATTGATAAGTGTGCCCTCTATTATTTTGCCCAAGTCATCGATAAAGATGTTGAATAGCACTGGGCCCAGGACAGAACCCTGTGGCACCCTTCTAGTCACTGCTCTCCAGATGAGCCATTATTGAGCACCGTTTGGGTTGAGTCAGTCAAGCAATTACAAATCCATCTAACAGTTGCATTGTCTAGCCCATATTTTATAGCTTACCTATACTTACCTATACATATTTCATCATCTGTTTCAGCATCACCTATACATCGAAATTTAAAATCATTCAAAGAGTCTGCAAACTTCCGCTTTGCTGAAGACAGATCTGTCAAAAGAGGAGGGAGGGGTTGAAAAGTAATATTAAACACTGAACCACAGACTAATAGAATACAATTTCACATTAACTTAAATTTAATCTCCTTCTCTTCAGACATGCTTGGTGGAAAGTGCACAGGAGCATCTCATCATTTAATTAGAAGCCCTGACAGCCACAGTACACCTAACTATCCTAAAACCACCAGATCCTGTCTGACCTTAGCAAGTTCAGCCCTGGTTAGTACTTGGATGTGAGACTGCCAACAAGTACCAGGTGCTGTAGGCTTAATTTGAGAGGAAGGAACTTACAAAAGCATTTCTGAATATTCCTTGCCTAAGAAAACCCTTTGAAAATCATGGGACTGCCATAAATCAACAGATGACTAGAAGGCAGTATATGCATGCTAATGCCCACATTGAATGGGATAATGCTGATGTAGGAATAAAATGCAAGGAACAACTGTTGTAAGTTTGGGAAAGGAGCTTTCTGCCTTTAAAAGCAAAACTAAAAGATTGGCTTCATTACTACAACACTTGGATGATCTTATATCACAACTGGCAGAAGTCCACAAAGACCTTGCCTCCTTATCTATAAAAGACATTTCTTTGTGTCCGCCAGTTTGCTGAAATTTGTAATAAAATAAGATGTATGCCTTTACATCCAACTGTTTTTCTGTGATTATTATAAACATCCCAATTTATACAGTATTTGATGTTCAGCTACCTGCTTTAGCTCAATAGCCATTGTATTTCTGAAATGACAAGTAATACTACTACACAAATTGTTCATGGCATTTCTGCATTTCTCTTATGAAACAGAGCCATCTAAAAGGCTTACTTCTACACTTTATTAGTATCACAAACTGTTTGTTGTTGCTGTTGTGTGCCTTCAAGTCATTTCTGGTTAACCAGGCTTTCTTGGCAAGATTTATTCAGAGGCAGGTTTGCCTCCCTCTGAGGCTGAGAGAGTGTGAGTTACCCAAGGTCACCCAGTGGGATTCCATGGCAAAGCAGTGAATCAAACCCTGGCCTCCAGAGTCATAGTCCAACACTCAAACCACTACACCACACTGCCTATCACATTTTCTTATAAGTTGGTTCATAACAACTCAGTAGAATATACTTCCATGTAATGACTGAATTCATTATTACATTTATAAAAGTAATCATTAACTATATATGTTAATGACATATAATAGTTACATATAATGATAACGTTATGTATAATGTTAATATCCTTGTGAAGCTCATTGCTTACAAAGCAGCACTTCTAACATATTGCATTTTGTAACACTAGATATAAATTCCAGGTAAAATTGAAGATATCCCTGCTCAATATACCTACTGGAACATAATTTGAAAATGCTTTCTAGAGGAAATAAAAGCAATCTGCTTTGCAGGTTTCCATACTCTCTCTCTCTTTTTCTCTCTCCCTTTTTTTCTCCACCCATACATACACACACAGAGATACACACCCCTTGTCCTAAACCACAAGTACAGGGGCCCTTGCTATCCACTGGGGTTTGATTCTAGGACCCTCCGTGGATAACAAAATCTGTGGATGCTCAAGTTCAATTAAATATAATAGCACAGTGAAATAGTGACCCTTATATAAAACGACAAAATCAAAATTTGTTATTTGGTGACCCTTATATAAAATGACAAAATCAAAATTTGTTATTTGGTGACCCTTATATAAAATGACAAAATCAAAATTTGTTATTTGGATTTTATATCTTTTTAGAATATTTTCAAGCCATGGATGCTTGAATCCATGGATAAAAACATCCATGGATATGGAGGGCTGACTGTATGCTAATACATTCTGTTAATTTAGCTGACAGCAATGGAAAATGCTGTCTTCTACTTAGTACAAATCAGACCTTTCTAAGAGTTGAAATCCAAAAAAGTTACTTTTCCATGTTCTGATACAGACACCCTCCAGCAGAAAGTCCTAACTGATTTGAATCAAACCAACACAAAACATAAAGAACCAATGATCTAATTCAACATTGTAATGGATCTCCAATATTTCAGATGCGGGGTTATTTCCCAGGAAAATCTGGGGCCCTTTCACACTAAAAATCCCAGAATCGAATAGGAAGCAGATCCCGGGACAGATAAAGTGGAATCATGTTGCTGTAACTGTGTAGTGTGAAAGGGCCCCATGAAAATAATTAAACCTGGGATGTCCTCCATGCAGTGCATGTGTTCCACCACTCAGTTACAGCTCTTTCCAGCAGAAATCACAAAAAAATTAAAAATATTTTTTTATTTCTTAATTATTTAAAAAATCTGATTTCAAATAAAAACTGTACTAAACACAAACATGTAACTCTCATCTTAAAACTAAATCACTCATATATTAAAATTTAATCTTGGAATCAAACTGAATTGGCTACTGTTCTATATGAAAAAGTCAGAGTGAGAGTGAGATTAGGGGAAATATCTAAACTGAAGCATTAGAGTAACATAGTGCTGCTTGGAGATTTTGCTATAATGGACTAATGTATCTACTCCTCTGGAAGTGAAAGGAATAAGATAATTTTTCTATTTCCATAGTGCATTAATAACTGCAATATTTGGTTACCTTAAAGAGACACATACAGTTGTAACAGTCAATCTGTGCTTTTACACAGAGAAACACAAAACCAAACTCTTCTCTATTAGGAATGGAAGGTGGAAGCGAGGAATAGCAGCATTGTGGCAACCACAGCACATAGTTTGTCTATTTATTTTTACAGAATGATCCAACATTACCTTACCCATCTAGATTGTTATTATTCTCGTTTATACTACCATAAGTTTTTTAAACAAACCAACAATGAAAGCAAAACAGTTTACACATTCTGCATGACCCTAGTGTGATAAAGACAAGAACACTATTTTCATATCAGTACTGAAATGTCGCACAATTCTCAGAGAGGTTTCCTGGAAAGATTGCAGTGGCAGGCACAAAACAAATACCAGGCACCTATGGAAAAGGACAGATAACACCAGCTTTCATCCTCCATGTGTACAGTTGCAGTTATCCATATTCATCTTCCTTCCTTAACAGATATTAATATATACAAAAAGAGAAAGAGCAAGAAAGAGATGCTCTACAGTATTACGATGCCCAGTTCCACTCACTACCAAAACTAGTCAGCACCATTTTTACAAATTACTGTATATTACTGTAAAAGCAAGGCCTTCCTCCTGGCAAAATACCAAAATGCATGTTGACAATTTAATTATCTTCGGATAAATCTTGAAGACATGCTTAGTAGGCCTAAACAAAATGTAAGACAACCACTTAGGAGCCAAAAGCAAACTATCAGAAACAAAAGCACAGGATCATATTCTGTTGTCAGATTTTTCATCTAACATTAATGCTGTAAAAACGCATGCAAAGTGTGAAGTGAAGTACATGTCCTGGAAGGGTACTTTAGTTTTGTGGGTTTTGGGGGGGGGGGGGATGGCTAGAGGAAGACATCTTAAAATAGCCTTCTGTGGGAAAATGGGAGATCCAGTGCTTGTTAGACAACCACTCCCTTCACTATACCAGTTAGGGATAATGGAAGTGATGGTCCAAGAAAATTAAAGGCTCTACAGCAGGGACCGGCAACCTACGGCCCGGGGGCCGGTTAAGACCCCAATCCCCAGACTTACCGGCCCAGGCCGAAGGTTGCCGCCACTGCGCGCCACCATCGTGGCACATTTTTGCCACTCTGCGGCCACGCTCGCCGCGATTGCCATTTTGGAAATCAAAATGGCGGTCGCGACGAATTTGTGCATGCCCAGTACTCTTGCGCATGCGCAAACGCGTCGCGGCCGCGATTTGGATTTCCAAAATGGCGGCTGCAACATGTCACGCGCGGCGGCGGAGAATGCGTGCACGCATATGGGCACGCATGCTGCCATTCCCTCCCCTCTCAGCCCAGCCGAGACCTGGGCTACGGGAGACTGGCCCAGGTCTCAGAAAGGTTGCCTGCCCCTGCTCTACAGGTTGCCCACCCAGATTCTCAAAGGGGAGATCAGGCAGCAAAGTCACTTTTAGAAGACTAAAACATATGTGAATTCAAGCAACAAAGTTAGTGATGATCAAGCTTCCTTCTGTTTTGTCCAGAGCTGGGCTCACATAGCCTAGTTATTTCAATCAATCAATCCATACATACATACATACATACGCACCAATCAATGGCATTACCTTTCCACAGAGGGACTCCATGTTCCTGTGAGACAAGAGACTAAAATGATGGTAGCAACACTGCTGGTAGAGTCTCCCATGTCAGGCAGACTTTTGTTGAGAAGCCAGACTAAATGTGCCAAACAGATACTGAACAACAGCAGTAATCAGAGGTCACACTGGCAGAAGATCTTTCAGAGACAACAGCAGTGGCATCGTAGCTAATATTTACCAGTACTGAGCAGGAGGAGGCATGTTAAACTCCGTTTGAATGTCTGTGACCATGAAAACCCTAAGATGAGACAATCCAGAATGAAAGAAGAGATAGTGTCAGAAGATGATACTCACAGGTTGGATGGCATTCAACAAGCTACTGAGGTGGAGCAGAGGACAACTATGCGTAGCACTATGGCTAATGATGCAACTTGGGTCAAGCTTAAAGGATCTTCAGCTACTGACATGCTCAGAGGTGAAAGGGAAGTTTAAAGCTGCACAACACATACTATAGGAATATGAAATGTGACAACCATTAATTGAGGGAAGCTAGACATAGTAAAACAAGAAACGGCACACACTGCAATACCTGGGGTGTGAGAGATAGAGTAGACAAGAATGGGACATTCTGAGTCAGATAATTACAGTTTTTTACTCAGAAATGGAAATCTAAAGAAGAACTAGGGTGACATTAAAAGTTAGGAGAGATGTAGTAAAACCATTCAATGAATTTAATGCAAGGTCTGAATTAATGATATCAATAAGACTTCAGGGGAAATTGATCAATATAGCCATAATCCATTTATGCTTCAACTATACAGGAAGAAGAAGAAGAAACTGAAAAATTGCAAACTGGAGTCCAGGAGGAAATTGACCATACACCAAAAAAGGATTTCTTGGTAATCACAGTCAATTGGAATGCAAAAGGAGGAAACAGAGCAGAATCAAAGTTTATAGAAAAAATTCACCTAGCATCAAGATATGAAGCAGGAGAATGACTGACTGAATTTTATGAAACCAACAATTTGTTTATCACAAAACATTCTTCAAGCAACCAAAGAGGCGACTGCAAACATGGACACTCGATAGAAATCAAACAGACTATATAACTGGAAGCAGAAGATGGAGAAGATCCATTCTCTCTGCAAAAGCAAGACCAAGAACAGATTGTGGCACAGGCTATGAACTGCTAATATAAACATTAGAGTAAAGCTAAGGAAGAACACTAGCCAACCATCATGCCAAAATACAACCTGAAACAATTCCACAGAATTTGAAGATAATGTAAAAAACAGATTTGCACTAATAAACCCAATTGAATGAGAGCCATAACAAAGTCAGAACCCTGAATGCAACTGTTCAGTGATTTGTACAGAAGGAAAGGGAGAATTAATTTTATAATAAATGCAGAGAATAGAAGATGACAACAAAAAAGAAAAAAACAAGACCTCTCCACAAGAGCCAAGAAATCAAAGGGAAATTTAAACCAAAAGTGGGGATGTTCTATGGACCAGCAAGGGAAGACATTACATGACCAAGTACAAATAAAAAGATGATAGAAAAAATGTATGGGAGAACTAGAAACAGTTGACCCTCTGTATCCATGGATTTAAGCACTTGTGGCTTGAAAATATTCAAAAAATATATAAATTCTAAAAAGGAAATGTTGATTTTGTCATTGTATATAAGGGATAACATTTTACTATCCACTGTATGAGATGTAAACTTCCATGTTTTTTGTTAGCCATGAGGGGTCCTGGAACCAAACCTCAGTGGATACCAAGGGCCCTCTGTAAAAGATATGGAAGAATCATTTGAAGATGAACCTACAATTTTAGAAAATGAAGTGGAAGCTGTATTCAGAGGGCTTTCAAGAAATAATCACCAGGAACAGGTGGTATATCAACAGAGCT